CACATGGCTGATTGATCCTGTTGCAGATCAATCCGCTGGCTAGACCGGTGCATTGCAGCCCATCGGAGGCAAGACAAGCAGAATCTCTTTGCTATCATCCAGGGTGGGCTGGACGCGGATCTCCGAGCCGCCTGCCTCGAAGGTAGAGCCATGTTCAGTGGGACCGGGTTTGTCACATCGCTGAGGGCCCCACACGGGCCTGGCATGCTCAGGCAGCGGTGGTTAATGGTGAGAGGGTTCTCCAGGCGGAAGGAACGGCTTAAGCAAAAGCTCAGAAGCAGAATGGAGTAGAATGTTTGTAGAATAATAGCAATTCCAATAGCCATCAATTTTTGGGTATTCACCTTCCACTATGCCAAGTGCTGCTCATAGGCTGACCCACTGAGGATTTTTTGTTGTTAATCCTCACCTGAGGATGTTTTTTTTCTGTTAAGGGAGGGGAGGGGAGAGAGAGAGGGATTGATGTGAGACACATCAATTGGTTGTCTCCTGCATGCCCCGGATCAAACCTGCAACCTTGGTACGTGCCCTTGACCGGGAATGGAACCTGCGACCCTTTGGTGTGGGGCCAGTGCTCTAACCACTTAGCAACACTGACTGGCCAGGGTGACCCATTGAGTTTTTCTTTTTTTTATTTTATTTTATTTTTTTTAAATATATTTTATTGATTTTTCACAGAGAAGAAGGGAGAGAGATAGAGAGTTAGAAACATCGATGAGAGAGAAACATCGATCAGCTGCCTCCTGCACATCTCCTACTGGGGACGTGCCCGCAACCCAGGTACATGCCCTTGACCGGAATCGAACCTGGGACCCTTCAGTCCGCAGGCCGATGCTCTATCCACTGAGCCAAACCGGTTTCGGCGAGTTTTTCTTTTTTTTAAACATTTTTGATTTCAGAGAGCAAGGAAGAGGGAGAGAGAGATAGAACATAAATTATGATGAGAGAATCATTGATCAGCTGCCTCCAGCACAGCCCCTACCAGCGATCAAGCCTGCAACCTGGGCATGTGCCCTGATAGGGAATCGCACTGTGACTTCCTGGTTTATGGGTCGAGGCTGGGCAACCCATTGAGTTTTCGTAACCATCCTAAAGGTGGGAACTACCGGTTCCTGAGGTTGCAGAAGGGAACACTAAGGCAGAGAGCTGTTAAGCCACTTACCCGAAGCTAGACAGTGTGGATATTACGGAGCTGGGATTTGGACCAGGCCTTGAGGTCTAGAACCTACAGCATTCATTAACTGATGCACTGAGATGTGAGGAAGTCAGGGAGGGATGTTGAGTGGGAGAGTGACAGGAACCAATGGGGAACCAAGGAAAACTGGTAGACAGGAAGCAGGGGCCTATGAGGAAGCTGGAGTAGTTGCCTAAGATAAAGACATTTTACGACAAGTGTAGATAACACTTTGGCATGAAGTGACCAAAAAATAAATAACTGTTCTCCAGTGCAAAAACATCTTGGCAGGAATTCTTTTCTGCGGAGTTGGGTGGTTATCTGAGTGTTCATAGGGTGGCCGAGGCTGTGGCCAAAGAGATGAAGGGGAAGAAGAAATGGGGGCAGAGAGGAAGAGGGGGAGGGGGAAGAAGAGGAGGAACAGCATTCCCTTTTGCCTGATTGCTCCTCACCTTACTCTGTACCCCTAGAGATGACCAAGAGGGACGTGCCTGGCTTTGCCATCGGGGGTCTGAGTGGGGGTGAGAGCAAGGACCAGTTCTGGAGGATGGTGGCACTGAGCACTTCAAGGCTGCCTAAGGACAAGCCCCGATACCTGATGGGGGTTGGGTATGTCCAAAAGCAGGGAAACAGCTGTACGCGTGGGATTGCGGATTTCTGGCGGCCCTCTAACCCCTCCTCCCCCCGTGTGTTAGGGGAAAGGACACAGCCCTGCCTGGGAGGGGACTAAGGACATGGCCCTCTGCTGGGGACTGTTGTGAAGGTCCCAGTCTAGGAGGAGTCTGAGGGTCCGGAGGGGGGTCTGGTTGTATGACCAGGGCTTGAGAGATTCTCTGCTCCCCTCCGCCCACCATGGTCCCACCCCCAGCTATGCCACTGATCTGGTGGTCTGCGTGGCTCTTGGATGCGACATGTTCGACTGCGTTTTCCCCACGAGGACAGCGGTGAGGCTTGGGCCTTGGATAGCTGGGGTGGGCCTGTTGATGGGCCAAGGTTGGGGTGGGGCCAGAAAAGGTGAAGACCTGGTGGTTGACTTGCCTTCCCCATCCCTTTCCTCCCTCAGCGCTTTGGCTCTGCCCTGGTGCCTACGGGGAACCTGCAGCTGAAGAAGAAGCAGTTCCAGAAGGACTTCCGCCCCATAGACCCTAAGTGTGCCTGTCCCACTTGCCAGAAGTAGGGAAGGATGGGGCTGGAGGCTGGGGGAAGGAGTGGAGGGGTGCAGGACCCTACACTGCTCAGCCTCGACTTCCTGTCCCCAGGCACAGCCGTGCCTTCCTGCATGCACTCCTACACAGCGACAACACTGCAGCCCTGCACCACCTCACTGTTCACAACATCGCCTACCAGGTGGGCCCATGCTCTGGGTGGACAAGCCAGGGGTGGGAGTGGGGTCTCCTGGGTGCAGGTGGCTGACACTGACACTTCCACCCCATAGCTGCAGCTGATGGGCGCCCTGCGAGCCAGCATCATGGAGAAACGCTTTCCTGAGTTTGTGCGGGACTTCATGGACACCATGTATGGGGACCCCACCCTCTATCCCAGCTGGGCCACTGAAGCTCTGGCCTCTGTGGGAATCTCATTGACTTGACCCAGCTTAGGGGAGGGAGGGAGGGGATGGGAGATATTGAAGGGTTGGATTTTTTATTACAATTTAGAGTGTGTCTGTTCCTTCTTGGGGAGGTGGTTTGTCTTAGTCCCCTTCTTTGTCTGAGTGTCCCTGCGGTCAGTGTCCCTCATCTCACATTGATTGTAATAACTAGTAACCATAGCAGCAGCTGGTATCTGGAAACCACCTCTCAGCCCAGAATGTAGGAAGTACCCCAGAGGGGGAGCTGCATTCCTTTTCCTGTGGCCCAGGTCTCCTAACCCCTCGGGGGTCAGTCAGCACTCCTGTCCTCCCCCTTTTTATATGTCAGTAAACAGGCCCAGAGAGAGGAAGTAGCCAACCCAAGGTCACCACCGAGGAGGTAGTAGCCTGGCTCCAGAGCTCATGCCTTTGGCCTTGACTCTTCAAAATTGGCATAATCTTGCTGTCAGTAAGCACAATGATAATGATAATAGGTGTGATCTAGCAGATGCATACACTGCACCCGGGCCTGTTCTAAATGGTTGTAATGTGCATTTAATTCTTACTACTTTATCATGCATGAATGGCAACTTTCCCCATTTTACAGACGAAGAAACTGAGTTTCAGGGGAATGAAGTCCCTTGGTCATCCAGCAAATAAACAGGCCCAGGATCTAACCCTGATATGGCCAATTACAGAGCTGGTGTTCTTAGAAGATAAGGGATTTTATTTAAAAAAAATTTTTTTTAATATATATTTTATTGAGTTTTTACAGAGAGGAAGGGAGAGAGATAGAGAATTAGAAACATCGATGAGAGAGAAACAATCGATCAGCTGCCTCCTGCACATCCCCTACTGGGTATGTGCCCGCAACCCAGGTACATGCCCTTGACTGGAATCGAACCTGGGACCTTTCAGTCCGCAGGCTGAAGCTCTATCCACTGAACCAAACCGGTTTCGGCAAAGATAAGGGATTTTAAATGGAAAAAGTAATACATGTGTAGGACCACCATTCAAATAGCATAAAAATTCAACTGATCAGTTTGTGTATTTTTTCAGAAACGTTCCATGTGTGCATATTTTTCATGAATGTCGGTGTCCTTTACATGCAGTTTTGTACCTTGCTTTTTTTCTCAGTATTTTTCAAATTATTTACATGTCAATACATGAGACTTCCTTATCTTTTTTTACAGCAGCCACATAGTATTTATTTAGCTCCAGGGAAACACCCTAACTGGGTGTTGCCAGGTTTCTCCTACTCTGGTCAAGGCAGAAACCTGTTCCTGACTCCTTACTGGGTTGCTTCAGCACTCTTTGGACTCCTCCGCAGTTTCTCTCTGGCCCATCTGTGCCCAGAGGAATCAAATTACTTCTTTTCTTAACGTGTCTTTTTATGAGCAGAGGATCAGTTGAGTTTCACTAGGTACTCAAAAAGATGATGATAAGCTAAATTTGAAGAGTCATGTAGTTAGTCTCATCCAGACAGGATGTGAAGGGAAGGTATTCTTAGGAGAGGGCACAACATAGCCAAGGCATGGTGGTGTGACTTTATATAGGAATATGGGTGGGAAACAATGCCGCTCCCTAGGAATCCTAACATCACCTCTCACATTCAAAGCATAATGGAACCCCCGCGCAGAGAGCTGGTTTGCAAGCCCGGTACCGAGATGCATTCTGGGACTTGTAGTTTTCGTTACAGCCCAGAAACTCCTGATGATCACCACTGGGTCCCACTAAGACTCGCGTGTGTAGTGGGTCTTACCCTCTGCTCGGGAAGACTCATAATAGACAATAATTACGAGTAAGAATGGGAGGTTGATTGACAGATTCAGTTCTAAATCAGAGTCAAAACTCGGAGATTATGGTATTTATATGAACCGATGGGAAATTTTTAGGGAACTAGGTAGAGTCAAATGACAAACCAGTGTCTTAAAAAAATCGATCTCTAACATCATTGGCTAGCGTTGTTGATTGGAGGGTCTCCCTGCCAATAAAACTGGCGATTTTCCTGCTGCCCGGGAACTCCTCCTAGTAGGCGGAGCCAACATGTCTTTTCCGAAACCACCTACCGGTTTTGACGTGTCGCTACCCGCTGGTATTGGCCCAAGCCTAACAGCGACAGCTCTTAACGTCCAATGAACCCGCGAGGAGGTCTCCAGGGGGACGGGTCCCTCCGCCTTAAGACCGTGCCTCATTTTTATTGACTGGTTTACATGAGTGGCAGCGCAGTTAGCCAATCAGGGGTGGCGCGAAGGCTTTGGGGCCGGGCGGGAGGTCGCTCGGGTCGGGTGTCGCCTGAGACCGGCGCCATGGGCAATCGCGGGATGGAAGAGCTGATCCCGCTGGTCAACAAGCTGCAGGACGCCTTCAGCTCCATCGGTCAGAGTTGCCACCTGGACTTGCCTCAGATCGCCGTGGTGGGCGGCCAGAGCGCAGGCAAGAGCTCGGTGCTCGAGAACTTCGTGGGCCGGTGAGCGAACGCGGTGGCGACGGCCGGCGGGCGGTGGCCCAGGGCGCGGAGGGCGGACCGGGAATGGCGCGCCCTGCGCCTCCAGCGTAACTGCGGCGCTTGCGTGCCCGTGACGGGGTCAGGGGCAGGGAGGCGGGCCCTGTGGGACACTGTGAGCTTAGGGCGCCTTGCAGGGGCTGGGGGGCCGGCCCGGGCCCAAGGGGAGTCTTACAGGCTGGGAGGCGTGGGCCCGGATGTGCGGTGGACCCCCGTTGACTCTCTGGTCCCCAGGTTGAGTGGGTGAATTCTGCCATCTGGTTGCTAGTGGGGCAGGGGGAGGTCTCCCATCTCTGTCCGAAACGTGCCACCTCGGTCTCTGCTGGGCCGACTCCTGTCGTCTGGCTGGCTGTCCATTTATCTGGAGCAGTCACTGCCGTCCGGTTGGCTGATTCTATCCTGGATAGGCCTCCCTGCTACCACCATTTGGCTGTCCATCTGTCCAGTTCTGCAGGGCAGCTCCCTGCTGTCTAGCTAGCTGTCCAGGGTCACCTGTGCCGTCTGGCCGCCCATCCGTGCCCCTCACAGACTAACAGCCATCCCGCTGGTGGGTTACCCCAGCTGACCTCTGTGTCTGACTGGTTGTTTGGACCCTAGGGAACCCTGTTGTCTGGCTCTCGGATTGACTCTTCAGCTTGGTCCCTGGAAAACACTAGCTCCTCTCTTCCAAGTTCATCTTTTTGTCTGTCCTCCTCGTCTGCCCAAGTGCCGGAACAGCCCCCAAGTGTCCGGTTCAAGCTCTGTGGCAGGGGGTGATGGGAGCATAGGAAGAGCAGGTGGTGAAGTATGAGACTTGAACTGCTCTCTTCGCAGTTGGAAGTAGGACCCCAGGGGAAACTTTCTACAGGATTCTTTCCTGGACCATGTCAGGATTTCCAGGGCCCTGGAAGACAGGGACCAGCCCCCAAGCTAAAGCCTGCCAATTGCGGGCTCTCTTGGAACCTGGGAAGGGACTTTTTTTTTCTTCTTTTCCTTTTTGTCACTAATCCTCATCAGAGGATATTTTTTCCATTGGTTTTTAGTGAGAGTGGAAGGGAAGGAAGAGAGAGAAACACAATGATTGGTTGCCTCCTGAACCCTCCCCTACTGGGCCAAGGCTTGAACCCACAACGCAGGTACATGCCCTTACTGGGAATCGAACCTGTGGCCCTTTGGTGTGCTGGCTGATGCTCCCACCATGGAGCCATACTGGCCAGGACAAAAGGTACTTCTTGTCTGATCAGGCCCTCATGGCAAGAGCTGGCATAAGGTCTTCCTTGGGTAGCCCTGAGAAGCATCCGTTTGCCCATCTGTCTAGTGGGCAAATTCTACTTTCTGGGCTGTTTCAGGGATTCAGGAAGCTAATGAATGAGAAACGGTCCTGAGGTCATTAAAGGCGGTTGATTCTCCCCTCTCTTCTTTTATTTTATTTTTTTAAAATATATTTTATTGAGTTTTTACAGAGAGGAAAGGAGAGAGATAGAAAGTTACAAACATCGATGAGAGAGAAACATCGATCAGCCGCCTCCTGCACATCCCCCACTGGGGAAGTGCCCGCAACCCAGGCACATGCCCTTGACCGAAATCGAACCGGGGACCTTTCAGTCCTCAGGCCGATGCTCTATCCACTGAGCCAAACCGGTTTCGGCCCTCTCTTTCTTCTTTAGCCTCTTGCTTTTCTGCCTCCCAGATGGGCGGCCACATTTCCATTCCAGGAAGGACTCCTTTGTGACTGTGGTTGCCCAATGATATCATAGTTGTTATTATTGCTGTTATTATTGTTATCAGTGTTAGGAAGTAATGTTCATTCATTCAGCGGGTGCCAGGCTGACTTCTTTCTTTTCTTTTTTTTTTTT